AAATAAATAATTAAAATTTTATATAAATAAAATAAAAAGTGCTTATCAATTATTATTTTTAACAAAAAGTAGAGTTCTACGAACGACACCGTTTCATTTAAGATTAATCCTCAACCTCTACTATTCTCACCCCTTTTGTCGCTGCAATTCTCCATCTCTCTATGCCTCCTGTGATTCATCATCTCCACGCCTTCTCCTACAATTCAATCAATTTGTCCAACACAATCCACAGCAAGCCCATAACAAATCAACAATGGAGAAAAGACCCATCTATCTATCTCTCTATCTATCTATCTATCTATCTATCCATCTCTCGTTTCTCTTCAGTTTTCTCTCTCTAATTCTTAGTATACAAGAGTTATTAAAGACCAACAATGGAGAGCTTGAAGCCAGCAAAGCAGAGGTCCAGTTTTTGGCTCCACACCACTATGGCTTGTAGAAAGAGAAAACTAGAGAAAGAAGTTTCATAACACAGAGTCAAAGAAATCCAGTTTTATGGGCAATGTTATTATGCATCATGAAGTTATAAAGCCGTTTCATGAAGTTTTTCTTTGATTCCTTCTCTGTACCTTCGCTGTGGTTCTTGTTAAATAAATTGAATGAATTGTAGGACGACGCACGGAGATGTTGAATTGCAGGAAGCGTGAAGATTTTTTTTTTATGAAACGGTGCCGTTGCAGTCTGGAACTTCAATTTTTATTAAAAGTCAAAACTAATATACATTTACGAATTATATTAACATAAATCACTATTTTTTCTTTTTATCAGGGCAAGTGGGTCGGGGAGGAGAATGGCAGGGGATAAAAAATTCTTAGCATGTGAAAAAGAGTTATATTAGACTGTTAAGTAATTATGTTGGTAGGCCTTCTTCAACATAAATCACTATTTTTAAAATAATTTTTAAATATAATTTCTATGATTATAATAAAATATTAAAAAAAATATGACCACAGCACTTCACGTGGTAAACAATTATAGAAGACTTTAGGTACGTTTGGTTTGATTATAGGTAAAATTTTTTTTTAAATCTTTAAATTTATCTCAAAATAATATTTAAACCCTAAACCTAAAAATAAAATTGATAAACTCTCCAATTCCACTAATAATGCATGTAAGCCTTTCTCATTCATAAGTATTCATGTTTTCAAAGTAATATTAAATATGAAATACTATTTGACGCATTTGTGAGTAGGGTTTATTTGCATTATTAGTGAAGTTTAAGGACTTATCTGTTTTGTTTTTAGTTCAAGAGTTTAAATGCTATTTTGACATAACTTTGAGAGCTTAAGAAGGTTTTTTGCCTTAACTGTACGTATGTTTTTCGGCCTATTTCGCTAGGATGATTTGTTCTTATCAGTTCAACTATAAAATCCTCTATTCTCGCACGCCTATACTTGTCTCATAATCCCAGTTTCTCCATTAATGGCAGAGCCAACGAAGAGGTTTTTTATTTTTTATTTTTATTTTTTTTTCCTTCAATCAAGTTTTCTCTTTATTTTTGGTGTTCCATTTTTCTTATTCTTCTTTACTTTCCCTTCATTTTCAGGTACGCAGTTGTTACTGGGGCAAGCAAAGGTATTGGTTTGGAAATATGCAAACAGTTGGCGTTACATGGGGTGACCGTAGTTTTGACAGCTAGAGATGAGAAGAGGGGTATGGAAGCTGTTGAAAAGCTCAAAGAATCTGGTCTCTCTGAATACATAGTTTTTCATCAGCTTGATGTTGCAGACCCTGCAAACTATTGCTTCTCTAGCAGATTTTGTCAAAAGGCAATTTGGAAAGCTCGATATCTTGGTATCACTTAAATTCTCTAATATTTTTCATTCATATGAAATGATGAAATGACTGCTGAATGATTTTCATATCCCCCAATGATCATGTGCAGGTGAACAATGCAGGAATTGGTGGTGTGATAACAGATCGTGATGCTTTAACAGCTGTTGTCAGTAAGGTAAATCTTCTACATATAATCCTTTGATTTCTTTGCCACATAGAAAACAAAAACACTATTCCAATACAATTTTGTTTGAGAGTAATTGCCTGGATTAGAAAGTTTAATTTTCTTCTTATATCAATCCAGTATCAGGCGGATGAATATATCAACTGGAGTGAAATAGTAACTCAAACGTACGAGTTGGCCGAAGAATGCCTCAAAATAAACTACTTTGGTGCCAAAAGGATGTCTGAAACTTTTATTCCCCTCCTCCAGTTATCTGATTCAACAAGAATTGTAAATGTTTCTTCCTCCCTGGGAAAATTAAAGGTAAAATTTTTTGCTATCATTTTTTCCAAGCATGACTTAAATCACTTGACAGCTATTAAGTTCATTTCATGATTCTATTTCAGAATGTATCAAACGAATGAGCAAAAGCAATCTTAAGTGATGCTGAAAACCTTACAGAAGAGAGAGTGGGTGAAGTGTTGAACAAATATCTGACAGATTTTAAAGAGGGATCACTAGAAGCTGGAGGATGGCCAGATTCTATGACTGCCTACATGCTCTCCAAAGCTGCCATGAATGCCTATACAAGGATTTTGGCTAAGAAACACCCCAGTCTCTGCATTAATTGTGTTTGCCCTGGCTATGTCAAAACTGACATAACCTATAATACTGGAGTCTTGACTGTTGACTAAGGTGCTCAAGGTCCGGTGAGATTGGCATTGCTGCCAAATGGTGGCCCTTCGGGTCTCTTCTTCTCTCGATTGGAAGAATCAGAATTCTGATCAGATTGTCGGAAAGTTAATGTTTTTCCTCTGTACTGCTTTATGATGATCTTGGAATCTCAAACAAGTAAAAGCATATATGATAAAATAAATAAATAAATATATATCATTTAAATATAAACATTGTTTGCGAGTAAGGAGTAACAAAGTCTGTAATTTATGGTATTTTGCTTCCTTACAAAATTTTTTATAACACATTCATCTGTAACATGTTTTGATTTTACCCACATTATGGGATGCAGCATGCATGCAAGGGATGAAGTCAAGCAGCTTACTTGATGCTAATTTGTTTCATTCATGCAAAATTTGGCAGAAGCTATATGACTGAAGCTTGAAGCTTCTCTTCCTATTTCTCAACGATTTCATACCTTAAAACCATCTGAAACACCTGCTTGTATTTGTTTTTTAACATCCTCTCTAAATTTTGATATTTCTTGAGGATATTTCTATCTGGAATGCATCCGATTTTATTTATCCAAGAGAATTAAGAGTACATCAATGCAGCCAATGATGCTGCTACAGAAAATAAACTGTAAAAAACGGACTGTCAAACATGTGTGCCCACAATTAATTTCTCACATTGTTTGGAGGAAGACCTTGCACAGGCAAAACCAAGAATCTTGCTCCTGACTTCAAACTGGATGTCAGCAACTATAGCTGCTTGGGTCTTGAACAACTGCTTGTGAATCCTTGTATTCCTCTCCATCCACAAATAATTTATAGTGTCAATAATACTGGGAGTCTATTTTTTTCTGGCAAGCCTTTGTAGTTTATATGTCACTAATAGCAAGCCAACTTATAAAACTATGCTTAGGTATAGTGTCTTAGAACCAGACTAGTTTATACCAAGGCTTCTTCATTCACCTATTCTTTAAAATCTATGTTAAGCCGCTGTCAGCCACATGTAATTGATTA